CATCCCTCGCTCGCCGTCCAACACAAATGTGCAAGGGGGTACGGCGTTTCCGAAACGCCGTACCCCCCACCCCCACTGCACCCTCGCCTGCCACCTCCGTCATCCCTCGCTCCCCTACCGACGTAAACGTGCAAAGGGGTACGGCGTTTTGGAAACGCCGTACCCCCCACCCCCACCGCACCCTCGCCCACCACCTCCCTTATCCCTCGCTTCCCTACCGACATAAACGTGCAAGGGGGTGCGGCGTTCCGGAAACGCCGTACCCCCACCCCCATCGCACCCTCGCCGGCCTCCTCCATCACCCCTCGCACCCCCACCCTTACCCCACACACCCCTACCGATACAAACGTACAAAGGGGGTGCGGCGTTTTCGGAACGCCGTACCCCCCTTCCGCCCCTTTGCCCTCCCCCGCCTACAAATAGCGCAAGGGTAGGGAGGGGTGGGTGGGAGGGGGGGAAGAGGGGAGGGGGAAGGGAGGGTACGACGTTTCCAAAACGTCGTACCCCCCCTGCCCCCCGCTGTGATGACTACAGACGCTGAAGATGTGATCACCCTGTTATGATAGTTTGAGGGATATATTATTGCTACTGCTATAGTCTTTCCACAAAAGTTGCGTGTCGTTCGTCCGAGGCTGCTACGTCTACCGATACGTATCGTCATTGTTTACTGTGCTTTAAGGTTGGAAAACAGCGTGAATGTCCCATCATGAGTAACGAGGGTTGCCATTACGTTTCTCTGCCATCGAAACATCAGGTGCAAGGGATTATGCCTCTTGCGAAGGTTATCAACTGAGAGAGTCGCTCCCCGTCGTCACCGCTCACACCGTCCAAACGTGGAGCGGGGCCTTTTTATCCTGAAAGGCCGTGAAGCGTACCAGCTAAAAAAGTGGTTTCTCGGTCGGTCCACGTTTCTTACCATGCGCGATAATCCAGCACGTCAACACCAAGCCTTGTGACAGATCTAGGACCAAAAACTGGTCCTCTACGTACCCGCCTACCAAAAAACCCCTCAAACAGACCCTCGGAGAACCAATCCTCCCAAAAGGTCSAGCAGYCTGCATTCTTTGTGAAAAATCGCATAAGGACTGTTGAAAAATATGGTTYGGGAAGCCTTTATATCTCAGCTCCCGTCGCATAGAAAGCAGGCACTGACCCACTCCTCTCGAATCGGAGGAGTGAGTCAGAATCCTGTTGAGATGACACTTCACGAGGCCAATCTTCCGAGCCTTTGGCTTGTAAGAACAGTAGTCCTGTGTTGTTTGGATGAGTACCCCATCGCCTTTCCATGAAGTCTTGGTTCTTCATTCTTGCTTCACACCAAACAGCAGGCGACATAGCTTGGCTTTTTACAAGACATCCTAAAAACTCAAGCATGTCGTTCCTATCGTCTGTTCGTACAAGTGTCAGATGTCGGTTGGAAACAGAGAGAAATTAAAAATATATATCTTTCGCTTCGCTAATGAACTCGTCGCAGACATGAGGTAGTATAAGAAAAAGGGCGACATCATCACCCAATCTTAAGCCAGAAATCAGTCTCTTATCTCGCCCCAGCGAGCTAAGGAAGAAAAACTCATAGTAAGCACAGAGGAGGCAGGCAGGAGCGGGGCTCGAACTTTTTCCTATGGGAATGCTGATCACTTGTCTGACAATAAAATTGAAGACCCTGGAGAAAGTGTGATCCAGATCGAATTTCACAAAATCAACCATCCCTGAGAACGTTAGACGGACCCATCCCTTCTTAGCGTAACCTTTGCCCAACACAACCCCTTTCCCCACCTTATTAACTCTGATAGCTTTGTGGTCTTTTCCCAGAAAATATCCACACAGCCACTCCACGGCTGCAACAATGTCATCATGCGTTAATTTTGTAAACATTTCTTTTATATCGAAGCTAGCAGTTAGTTGCAAAGCATCGTGCATTTTTTGTAACTTGTGGTCGAGCTTATCGATATGTTTCTTCATCTTCACAGTACTTCTCAAATTGAAATGACACGTTTYYGGGATCCGCCACAACAGTCCATTGATTGCTTTGGACACCAGMTTACATGCCCTGACACTCGGCTCAGAATAGGAGGGCGCGATAGGCCGCCATCTAYTRGTGTCMTTGKGCTTGARAATTCCATACATAGATCCTAAAGAGCCTCGGTTGTTCCATGGTGCAATTTTTGGAGCACCTATGCTGCAATATCTTTGCTTACATACGTCCAAAATTTCCTGCTCAGTTCGGTTATCGACCAAAAAACCGCCACTCCTCCAATAGAGATTCTTGAGAGCCTTATGATAGATAAGGGCRCARCAGRCGTAGGAATCTCCTAWATTGTGGTCAATAGAAGAAATAACCAATCATTTCAGTCTCTGTTTCCATTCCCCTACCAGATCCTCACTAGCCATGTCTTAAGAAGTATGGACAAAACAKGATTCAAGAATTTTAAACTACCCACCCTGTTCTCCTTACTGGGAACATTGGCTAGACCCTCCACGAGGGACTTCTTCAACCTCCCGACAAAAGTAACGAACCGAGRACGGGGAATATTTCTGCTATTTCGTAACAGGAGAGGGATTGGAAATTCAGAAAAGCGAAAAGAAACATGTCCATCCTTGTCCCTASRAAACTCCTTGTCACATTCAGAAYACGAGCATTCATTCACAGATGTATGTGCGCTCAATCGGTGGTTGTGGAGYCGATCAGACACAGACTTACAACTAGTCCAAACAATCCTCATTCTTGAAATGATAAATTCAGATAGAACATCGTTATAACAGCGCCTCCGAACAATGCGCTTAGCTAGATCCAACACACGATACTTTCAGATACGCTCATCAAAGGTGACTTTCACTACGACATGGGCCAAACATCGAAAGCCACTGGCTGACGTGAGGGCTCTTCCTACCACACCCTTCAAGATGAACGGCGATTTCGTCAAAACGGACATTTTATATTTTTTGAACGAAATTGAAATTGTSATTTTYATGCTGATTTTAATRATTTTTTGTGTTTTAGGCACACTATTTTGGGTAGGTACCCCGCATTGTTTATAGTTTGTGCTCATGTTTACCACAAGTTTTACATTGCTTTCTCACACATTTTKGGGGGTGTTACAGTCTCATTCGCATTATGTGAAGCTATAGGGGTCTTCATTATGGGTTTCTATTGTACTTTTCTATCATATCGATTACCATTTACTATGTTTCGCAATATAGTATCAGKTWTKTTTTTTTTWTTATTGACAAATGAATTAAGACAACAGACACATATTGAAAATCATACTCAAAAACACATATGGCAGGTTCAGTCAATGACAAAAAAACTCCATGGACATCTATAAATGTTTGAGACTTTTCGTGTCACCCAAGAATTACGAACAATGTTATGTGAATCTTTTCGAAGTTCATGTAAAAGAAAATAAACTTCTTTAGATAAATACAAAGAAACATTGATGCGGATCTTGGCTCATGCGACATATGATACATGTGCGCAAAAATATATGTACATAGAGAGACTCCATGTCTCTCTCTCTCTCTCTCTCTCTCTCTCTCTCTCTCTCTCTCTCTCTCTCTCTCTCTCTCTCTCTCTCTCTCTCT